CACGTGGGTGTGGGAGACAGCGCCATGACAATATGTCTGTTACATAAGCTCAATCTTCAACACTCATGAAAATAAAATCCAGGTGTGGAGGGTGCACTTACAAACCTAGCACTGGGGAGGCAGAGACAGGACGGTCCCTGGGGCTCAGTGACTCTATAGCCAGCCTAGCTGAAGCAGTGAGCCCCAGGTCTAAAACAGGGGAGGAGAGGGGAGCTGCAGGAGGGGGGAGGGAGAGGGGAAGGAGAGAAGGAGGGAGAGAGACTGCCTCAAAACTCAAAGTTGAAGGCATCAGAGGAACGCCCAAGATTGACCACTGAACTCCACAAACGTGTGCACACACCAACACATGCACACCTTCATGTACACTCCTGCACACATACATGAACACACACATACACAAATGTCTATACATCAGTCAACACTTTCTGTCTCACCTCTAGTTACATGGTGATCTATTGGTCATTGACATGAATCTCATAGCTAAACCTCATAGCCATGCCAGACTTGATGCCAATTGTGAAAATTATGCCATGTTGTGTCTTGTGACTCGGTGTGTCCCTGTCCTTTGTCATCATACTGGCCTCCATTGATGCAAGCAAATTGATTTCCATCTCTCATCGCGGAATCCAGCTTCCTGCTTTCAGATGACAGCCATTGTCAAACTTCCCAAAGAAGTGGACTCTGCCTTCCTAGACCTTTCCCTTATGCCTCAGAGAACGGAATGCTTACCAAAACTAAGGCTATGAGAACAACAATCATCTTGCTCCAGTGAGATTGCTGCTCCAGTGAGGTTACTGTCGTGCCCAGGGCAAATGGTGCTGTTCTATTTTAACAAGGGGAAAAAGTCGATCTGCCTGCCAGACAAGTTAGCGGGAGTTTGGCTGTTGTCAAACATTTTCAGGCTTATGTACTCAGATGTTTCTATGCCACATCACAAGGCCCAACCTTTTCCCTACAACAGCCCTAATTTAGATTGAGACACCTGCATGGCTATGCATTTGGCCTCCTTTCTGTCGTCTTCCCTTCTAACCAGATCCTGGGCTCGACTTTCAGTCTGTTACATGGGTGGGTGTTCCTCAAGCTTTTACAAAGCTTGGCTTAAGTGAGCCATCAGTTTTCTGAGCTGATTGTTTTGTTCTTACAGTGTTCGATGATGCCAGAAAAAGTGAATTAACCAACCCCGTATCCTTACAGCTGCCATCGCTCTCACCCTGAGCCACTTGATCCCATAGAGCCTTGCTTACTGGCAATTCCTACTTCCTGTGAGCTTGGGACGGAGCTTTGGGAGCTACCATGCTGGGGCTCCTAAAGTTCAGTTTTCAGCAGCCATGTCGGGTGGCTCACAACTACTTGTGTCTCCATTTCCAGGGCACCTGATGCTGTCTTCTGAAAGTACCTATGCTCCTGTGCACCCCCTCCCCGTACGTGTAATTAAATATTAAAAAAAAAGAATCAATCTAGCTGAGTTGACAACCAAGATCAGCTGTCACTGTAAGGAAGCATCACTTCCCGATGTCTCCTAAGGAGCAGTGACAAATTACACAGACTGCAAGTAGTGCTACCAAATAGACTTTCTGGATGGGATGTCGGACTTGGCTCTCCTGTCAATTTGTTGCAGTAATCAAAGCCATGCCTGGCAGGTCTATGAGGTAGACTAGATGGGGATGTATAGAAGATAGGTAAAGCACACTTTAGGGGTTTTGTGAGAGTTCCTCCAGAGACAACTGGCAAAAATCGAGAATTGAGCCGAGAAGACACATCCTGAATGTGAGAAGTGTTATCCGATGGACTGTGAGCCGCCTCCAGAGAAAAAGCCAAGGGGGTCGCTCAGGCCAGCGGGCACAAGTTACTCCTCTTAAACAGCAAGTGTTTGTTTGGGGTTTGCTGTTACCATCACCTGCAGATATCAGACCCCGGGTTCTTTACTCTTGGACTGTGGATTTGCATCAGTGATGCTCCAGGCTTCCAAGATGCCTGCTTTCATCTGGGGCTGGGCTGTTGTCTTTCTTCTGAGGTTCCTAGCTTCTTGCTCTTTGTAATTTATTTCCTGGTTCTTAAGCCTGCAGCCAGACACTGTGGAACTAAGCAGCCTCTGATTGTGTATACCCAGCTAATAAATCAGCTCTTATTAGTCCATTCTGTTTGTTCATTCCTCTGGATAAATATGACATACATTTTAGTGAGGATCTAAATCCGAGAGCAACAGGAATAAGATAAAACGAGACAGATAGAGGCAAACACAAGATAGGGTGTTGTCAAACTGGCCACAGCTTCAGAAGATATCGCCAGGTGATCTGTCACTCCTATTGGGCATCTCCTGATAGGCCAAATGGACCCAGTAGACTCCATGTCCAGGTCTCCTTCCATCCTTCATCTGTTGTCCTTCACTGACCGATGTTCTTCAAGGGCTATGGGTAGTGGTCTCCTGGTAAAGTTGTTCCATGACTTTTGTGATTAGACACCATAAGTCACAGGAGTCTGGAAAGGCTGAAGGAAGCTAGGAACTCCCTCGGTCCTTCAATGTCATGTAAGACCTATTTCAGAGGAGGTCTTCATTAGAAGGGAGGTTGTGGCATTCCCTGGTGTCAGTTGAGGACAAGGTGATTGATTCTCCAGAGGTACATAAGTAAATGAATACCAACATACAAACCTACCTAGACTTGCCTCCAACTTGCTATATAGCTAAGGATGACCTTGAACTTCTTATATTCTTGGCTCTGCCTCTACCTCCTGAGTACTAGGACTTGAAGTATGCACCACTGTGCCGGATCTATGCTCTACCCAGGATCTTATCCAGGGCCTTGTGCATGGTAGGCAAGTGCCCCAACAACTGAGCTACACCCCAGCCTAGAATGTCTTGACTCTGTAATCAGAATCTGTATGTGTGAATCTTAGGGCAAGAGCTGTGTGATTCTGGCTAGGAAACATTTCTAGATTGTTTTAAGATATGTTGCATTCATTTATGCTATGGAATATTTAATGATGCAAAGTTGTCTTCCATTCTTTTACATTGCATTTGTTTAACTCTGTAAAGCTGTGTTACTTTGCCTTCTTAAAACACCTGATTGGTCTAATAAAGAGCTGAACGGCTAATAGCTAGGCAAGAGAGAGAAATAGGCATGGCTGCCAGGCAGAGAGAATAAATAGGAGGAGAAATCTTGGGAAAAGAAAAGCAAAGAGTGAGGAGTGAGTAAAGGAGATGGAGAGGAGGATGCCATGGGCCAGTCACCCAGCCAGCCACAGAACAAGAAGAAAAGAATAAAGAAGGGTAACAAGCCCAGAGGCAAAATGTAGTTAAAGAGAAATGGGATAATTTAAGCTAGAAAAGCTGGCTAGAAACAAGCTAAGTCCAGTCACTGGTAAGTAAGAATAAGTCTCCGTGTATTTATTTAGGAACTGGGTGGCAGGCCCCCAAAGAGTTAAACAAACAAAAAGTATACTGGACTTTCCAAGCAGAACAATAACCTTAGCCTTCCAGGACTATGAGAAGGGAACTTCAAATATTTTCAAGTAGCAAAGGTCTCCAGGTATCTGGTGCTGTTGTCTTAGCTAAAGACTGGAGTCCTGTCCTGGGCAAAATTCTCCGGTTGGTTTAACCTACATTTACAAAGACACGAGACCATCCAGTGTCATTTAATCCCGGCTGATTCACAGGTTTCATTCAATCCTGGCTGATTCACAGGCTTCATTCAATGCTTCATTCCATGTTTTCCACACTGTCCTGGGAAGCGCCTTACTCATTAATCATTTCTCCCTGACTGTCAAAGTATGTGATTTGCTACATACCTTTGTAACTGCTGTACTGTGTCTGGCTCCCACTAAGTGCTTGTGGATAGTGCATGGAATGAATGACTGAAATAATGAAGGGCCAAACGTGTCCATATTTTTACCCAAGAGTTCCCTAGGTCACTTTATCCTGGAAGTCTTTTCCCCAGCTTCCATTCCTCTGCTCTCATCGTGTTCAGGCCCCTGTCTCGGTGACAGTGGAAAATCAAAGTAGGGGCAATGACTGACTGATGTTATTGGCTCCCTTACCTGCCCCTCCCCACTTCATGGAAGGGACAAGGCCTCACTCACATCTGTTGAATAGAACTGGGCGTCCGTGGGGCACGCCAGTCAGGCATGCACTGAGAAGGAAAGGCTCCGATAAAAGAAGTTGCTGGAAAATCGGTCTGAAGCCTGGCTTGCAGAGCGTTTATACTTAAGTGTGGTTTACCTGTGTCTTGGACACAGACAAGAGGAACTAAGCAACTTTTGTTTTAAGCCAGTGAGCTATCATATCTACCCTCCACTTTAAGCCACCGGTTCTCTCACCCAACCCCCCAAGCAGGATTGTCCAGCTCTTGGGGACTTCAGCACGAATTGTCACACCCCCACCTCCAGAGACCATCCATCAGAGTGCTTGTAGAGCACTATCACCAGATGATCAGGGCGCCTCTGTGGCGCCCACAAAGGTTCCTGTGAGGTAGGAGCAACCAGCTCCTTCCTGAAGAACCGACTTGTTGATAATTTTGCCTCAAACCAGAGTTTGCGAGTGGTGGAGGAAAAGGTTCTTTCTCCCTGGGGTGTCGCGCGACTTCCCCCCAAGACTCAGCGGAGTAATGGAGGAGAGTCCTGAAGTCATGACTGCCGAGTGGTGGGAGGTCAGACACATTGCCCTGGAGAGCTAGCTTGTATCCTCCCAGGCCTGCATCCACAGAGACTGCTGGAAAGGGGGGCATCCAGGAGGATGGCGCACAAACCCAGGCCCACTAGTCAGCCTGGGGATGAACTTGAGAGAAGGGCAAGCCAGGAGCAGGATGTCACTGTCGCTGGGAGTCCTCGGCCTCTAGGGTGAATAAATAAATTATTTAGCGCCCAATACACAATAGCCTCGCTAGATGGAGACGAGGAATCACTGCAGCGGCGCTGGCGGCCGCGGTAGCGGGGAGCGCGGGCGGGAGCGCAGCCCGGGAGGGAGGCGGGCGAGGCTCTGGCTCCGCTCACGTCTGTTTTCCTTTTTCGTGCATTATTTATTTCGCCTCCGCCCGCGGCCCTGCTGCCGGAGCGGGCGCTCCGGGCCGGCGCCTCTCGCCCGCTGCCTCCCGAGGGCCCCGGGCATCCCGCGCCCCGGTCAGCCGCGCGGCGCCACCGGGAAGGGCGGGGACCCGGCCGGCGCTGCGACCCGCGGCAGGGCTGGAGAAGGGCTCGCGTGGCCGGCTCCCCAAGGATCCGAGGACACTTTCCCCGCCCTCTGCCTGGGCAGTTCAACCCGGGCCCCGGGCTCGGGGGTGACCGCCTTTCCCGGCCCGCGCGCGGCCAAGCGCAGCCCGGAGCCCCGTGCGAGCGCGCCGCGCCCCGGGTCCCCAGACTAGCTGCCCTGGAGGCCCAAGCGGCGCGCAAACTTTTGCTCCAGCGCCCCGCGCTCTTCCTCTGCGTGTGAAGCCCCCAAGCACCCGCGCAGCCGCCAGGGTGAGCTTGGAGGCCCCGCCTAGAGGGCGGGGGACTGGGGAGGCGGCTGGCTTTAAATGGGGGCCGTCCTGCCGTTGAGAAACAGAGCTGTTGTGTGTGGGGGAACCCTGAGCTCCCTTCCCCGTGTCGAGGATCGGTGGGGGTCGCCGCCAGAAAAGGTGGCGTGAGGCATCGGAGGGGTGCGAGCGGGAATGGGAGCGTTCAGGAAACCTACGCCCACCGGGGAGCAGGAGCTGGAGCTTGGGCGGCCAAGGGGGCGCGTACGGAGGTGCCTAAGTGGCAGTATGCGCAGTGAAGTCCCTGGGGTAGAGAGATTGCACGCAGCGAGTGCTTTGGTGGTACTGTGCATGCAGAGTCTAGGAATGTGCGGGCGGGAGTCGGTGACAGCGCATGGGGGTCACAGTGTGTGCGCGTACAGAGTGGTTTGTAGCCGGGTTTGAAGCTTACTCTTTGTCAGAGTTGTACATGGCGGTTTCTGGGGGCTGTGTGAGGCTCAGTAAGTGTGTTTGAATGTTTCTGGAGGCGGGTATGGGATCAAGGTGTGCACGCAGTATTCTGAGGAGGAGGGGGATGTGCGACAAGATAGGGTGTCAGTTCTGGGATGCACTGAGACTCAGCAAGTGTGCACGCTGGAACGAAGATGAAGGCTTGCTTTGCGCTGGTGCCCCAAAGTGCGGGGCAAGTGAGTTCTCGCCGCGTTCGTACATGAATCGATGCTACTGTGCCTGCATCGTGTCCGTCTGACTCAAGCCTTGCTCCCTTGACAGTTGAGCCCACCAGTGGGCGCCTTGGGTCGAGATGCTCCTCCGGGACCTGGTGCTGCGCCGTGGCTGCTGCTGGCCCTCACTCCTGCTGCACTGTGCGCTGCACCCACTCTGGGGCTTAGTTCAGGTGAGTTGGGTAGAGACCTCCTGGGAAGGAGGTGGGGTCACTTCAGAGTGCATCCCGTAGCCACCTACTGACTGGTCCTGAGGGACAGTTGGGGAGAAAAAAAACTGGTCAACTACTGCATGCTCTGACTCCAAAAAGACAAACTTCATAAGGAGCCTCAGTTTTGGCCTAACAGCCTGCAGGACCGAACTGGCACAGAAAGGTTCTGAGATCTCATAGTATCCTCTACTGCAGCATTTGGGGAAAGAAACAAACTTAAAAAGAAAAAGGATCCCCCTATGGTTCCTTGTTTCCTACTACAGATCCCACCCCTAAACTTCCAATTAGCCTTCCTACTGGGGTGGGGGCTGTGCTCCTTGTAAGTTGTGGCCAGGGAGGTGGATGAATTAACACATACCAAACATCTGTCAAGACGACCTGAGGACAAATCCCTCACCTTTGGTCCCCTGGTCTCCCAGGCAGAGACTAAGCACCAACTGCAGTTACTCCTTAAGGCAGGGAGAGGGTTGGATGGGGAGAAGGATGCTCTCTCGTCCTGCCCAAGTTCCCATGCCCAGCTCTGTCCTTCACCAGCTAAGTGACTGAACGACATGCAGAAGCTCTCAGAGTCTGGATTTCTCCTTTCTTACTGCTGTGGATTCAGAACTTGTTTGCTGGGTACATCTCCTAGACCATAGGAAACATGGTTAGAAGCTGACCTTGCTGTTACTGGGATGTAAGGTGCTACCAATCTTGCCATCCACTGGGCAGACACCTCCATCTCCATCACCTTCTAGAGGCACCCCACACCCAGCACAGTTCAACGCTTCTGCTTTCTCTGCTCTGGTCTGCCTCTGGCTTATGATTGCTTTGTTTAAACTTGCTGTGTCCTCAGGACTCAGAGTTGTCAGTTCTCAACATTGAGACTAGGTCCCTCGGCTCAATTTCTATCCGGGCTCTGTTGCTGAATTCACCTGTCTGTGCATGTGTATGCCTCCTTCCTTGTCTTCCCAAAGACCTTTCAGTTAGGACCGAGAGAACACTAGTAATATTGCTAGCTGCCCTGTGTGTTAGAGACGGTCTAAAGAGAAGAGTTACAACCACCTGCCCTACCCATTAGGACTAATGCAACAAAACAAAACAAAACAAAACGTAGCTCTGTGTGTCCTGCAGGCAGGCAGTTTTTTACAAAAGCAATTGTGCGAGTGTGTTTCGGATTCTCAAACTCAATACAAATCAATTCTCATGAAAATCAATTAGAAAAGAGTCCTCCAGTTAAATAGAATGGGCAAGATCTTGGCTTGAAGCTCTGGAAAATTAATCTACAAATGATAGGGGCAGAGAGAGCAGGGGAAAGGAAGGGGGCCTGGGAATGAATGGGTTTTGTTTTTAGCAGGAGATTCGGGAAGGAACACAGGATGGAGGAGGAAGCTCACAAGGCCATGCGTTCCTATTTAAGTGGAGAGGATGAACTTGTCAGGTCACAGGAGTTTTCCTGACTTAGAGAAAGAGCTCGGAGCCATTGCTGCTTCCACGAGCATTCTTCCTAAGAATCCTCTAGAGGGTTAAAGGATAGGCCTGATACAACTGTCTTCTGATTAATGGACCAGTTGATGAAGGAAGAAACCTGGGTCCCTCGTGTGGCGGGTTCCTCCCTTGAAACTGTCGGAAACCTCAGGCTGTGGCAGGATGATAAGACACAGAGTCGCTTAAGTCCAATGGCACTTTAATTGCCAAAGGTTGGTGGGAGTGTTCCTTAACCCTCCTCCCCGTTTAATGTGTCTGCAATGGAGCTTTTGTGATTTCGGGTTCTTCCAAGTTCACTTCAGTTGATTCTTTTTTTCTTGTAAGGGAAGAGGATGACAGGCTGGCAGATTTATTAGGTGTGACAGGAGTGTGTCTCATCAAGTTACTGTGGTGCTGGCCCATCTCCTTAAAAGATGCCAGAAGCCATCATCCTTGTGGGTTACTTGTCTACAGCCAGTGCCAGAGAGACAGGCTTGGATCTGGCCCTTATGCGCCTCTGTGTGCTAGCATGAAGCAAAGCTCTCCCAGACCCAGTAGAAGCTGCTGAGTCCTCCACTTAACTCCCCCGGCTTGCGTTTTCCAGCATAGCGTTTACCAGGTGCCTCCTGGATGACAGGTTGTGTGTCAAGTGGTTTAGTGAGTGGTCCCTGTCCTTGTGGCACTGACAGACTGTGCTGGTGAGGTCATCAAACAAGTTACTGCCGACAAAAGCTCTCAGGAGGAGCAAATGGCTTAGACCTGGAAAGGGAGATCAAGAAACCTCCCACTGAGGTGTCACCACTAGATGGTAAAGCACCTTGACAGAGGGGACAGGCTGAAGCCAAGGGCAAGAATGAGACATGGAAAGACCCAGGGAGAAGAGGAGCAGGCAAGCCTCTGACCACTTTCAAGTTGAGATTTGATCCCTGGACTCCTAAGAACAATGGAGCGATCAAAGTCAGACATGACAGCATCTCAGATTGTCACTTTAGACATTCTGATTCCAGGGCACAAGACCCTAAGGGGCAAAGAGGCCTACGGTGAGAGCAGGGTTACCATATTGAGCAGATACAAAGCCTGTTTTCACTTTTAGCATGAGTATATTCTGTACAATACTGGGGGCATTTGTCAGCTGCAATGTAGTTTAGTGTATATCCACCATTCAAATTTAACCAGGCAGTTTCCCTAGCAATATTAGGTAAAACGCATGGATACCTGGTGTAGGGCAGTAACAGAGGAAATGGAGAGAGGCAGGTAAATTCTGGACATGTTTAGGAGGCAGCATCCACACTGGATGTGAGAGCCACACAAATTGGCCTTGAATCTAACTCCAATTTCGGGACATGGGCAAAATGCAGCCAAATTCTCAGCCAGAATATCCCATGAATGACCTCTAGACCTGTTCCCAATAAAGTCCCTATTTGCCTCTGTCCACATTTCTGTCCCCTTGCTTCCTGATAGTAGGCACAATGTGACCAGTAACATCAACCTCCTGCTGCTGGGCATTTCCTACCATGAACTGTCCCTGGGGCTGTGAATCAAACTGAACTCTTCCCAACAAATGAGAAAAGTACCTAAGACAAGCATCAGAGGGTCACAGGGCTCTGGAGAGTGTTGGGTTAGATGCTGAGCCCATTATTTAGGCTGACCCCTCTCTCACCTATTGTATGGCTAATAAGCTTCCCATATCTGTCCTCCTTGTGAAGGGAAGACAGCGTGTTGCTAACAGGGCTTAGCATGCGTGCCACTTGCTCAGTATGAATACAACACAGGACACTTGTCTTCCCCGAGACACCTGTAGTTTCTTGTGAGGAGACAGACAGTATAAAACAGCAGGGGGACTTGCCCCAAAGAGGAATGTTTACAAGCTGAAGGGAAAGCAGGGATCAGGGAGGCCCAAGTTGGGCTACAGGGACAGCTTGTCCCAGACAGTTGTGATTGTGTAAGAAAGGGTTTTGAAAGGTGAAGAGAACCCTGTTGGTGGACAAAGGGCCCAATGGATGGAGACTTATCAGTCTTAGGCCCATGCAGAAGAACCTATGGAGGGCTGGAGATTGCTCTTCCAGGGGTCCTGAGTTCAATTCCCAGCAACCACATGGCGGCTCACAACCATCTACAATTCAATCTGGTGTCTTCTTCTGGCATGTAGGCAGAACACTGTATATGTAATAAATAAATCTTTAAAAAAAAAGAACCTATGGAAACTCCAGTGGGGCCCAGCTAGAGCCCACCCCATGGCAAGAAGGACAGCCAGCTCAGACTTGACCCTTCTGTGAGCACAGGTTGTTGAGCGGTTGTTCACTTGGGTCTTAGTGGAGTCTTCACACGAGAGACGAGGATCCACTGATTTTTCCAATGTAACGAGCGAGCGCCTTCATTTCTTCCTCCTTCAGTCTTGAAAAATTGGTCTCAATTTTCTTGCCTGTCATTTGATCACATTAAACACCCTCATAGATCTGTACCCTTATATCCTCTCATAAAAAAAAAAGAAAAAAAAAGAATAGGTTATTGTGTCAGGCCAGGTCTTTCTGAACTTGCCTGCATGGAGATTGGGATAATAATTGCTTTGCCTGGGCATGGTATGAAGTTGCCACGCTCAAGCTCCAGTCTTAGACCATGATGATCTAGAGCAGGGCAGGGGTCAGGCTGCTTGGGGGAGGGACTCAGACATTGAGTCATGTCAATGCAGGAATGAAGGAAGTGCATACTCTAAGAATACTCCCTTCCCGTGGAGACAGGGCTGCCTTCCAGTGTCAGAAACATAGTCAGTAGCCCTTTAAAATACCAAGAGGTGATCTGTAGAAGCCTGTTGGCCTCTTAGATATATTGAGTCGCATCCACCCTGACATCCATTATGCAGCTGCTGTGCCTCCAAGTACAAAGGGAGTATCCAGTCCTGTGCCTCCTCTCACACAACTGAGGGACTCCAGGGGACCCACCTGTCTAACCCGGGGTTCTCAGGCTGGCTCTCTCTGTGATTGACTGGAAGACTAAAGTAAAACACCTCAGGCTCCTCTTCCCTGCAAAAGTCTCAGTTCACAGGTCCTAAGGCTAAGACAGGAATGTACCGGAGCTGACTGGGAGTTTCAGGACACAGCTAGCATGAGGAGCCACGGTTGATCACAACCTTCCGTAGCCGACATCAAGAAGCAGAGACCCATCCTAGGAAGATCCCAGGCCCAGACCTGTGAGGCACAGGTTCTGGTCCAGTCTTTGATGTTTGTTCATTCAATGGCCAGCTCTCTGGGAATTCTGGACCCTTCCCTTGGGTGTTGGTTTAAATCGTGAGAGGGAAGTCAAGGCCTAGCCCTGTCCTGGCATAGCTTACAGTCCCACAGCGAAGACAGCTGGAACTAAGTAGCAGAAATGAGACCTGATACCAAGGAACCTCTGAGAAGGAGATTCAGCCTGGCCAGGGAGTGGTGACACCGTGGGCCAGGTGGGTAGCATTCCAGCCATCAGGACAATATATGCAATGGCCAGGGATGGCAGGAGGATATAGGAGGGAGAGACGGATGCATAGAGGTTGCCAAGTAATAAGGAAGCACTTGGGAGGGGCGCCGGGGGAACTGGATGATTTGGTAGATGTGTCCCCACAAACTACTCAAATGCTACCAGAGAACACCAGAAGATTATCCTGTCCTTTGATCATATAGGATGTAGACCAAGGACCAGACAGGTGGTTCCCTCCCCAGATGGGGGACCCTGCTCTACACAGATATAGAAAAGTTGGATGAGCTGTGACTAGAAACAGGGTCTAGCCTATGCTGTCTAGCTGCCACTCTCTGGGTATAAACCCTTTGACTCCTGTCTATTCTACATGCTTTGGTCTTAATGAAGAATCCCACGTTGTGGCCTGGAAAGGACTTGGGCCAGGCTCAGTTCAGCTTCTAGCTGCCTCGTGGCCTCCTATGTCTCCTTGCTGTGTCTGTATCTGCAGGTGACACATGCTGAGCCCCAGAAGTCTTGTTCTAAGGTGACTGACAGCTGCCAACACATCTGCCAGTGCCGGCCCCCACCCCCTCTGCCCCCTCCGCCTCCACCTCCGCCACCTCCCAGACTCCTCTCCGCCCCAGGTAAGTGAAGGCTCATTCATTGGTTTTATTGGGAGGGTACTCTGTATGTTTTTCTGTGCCTGGGAAGAGCTGATGAGCAAGATGAGATGGAGGACAGCTCTGTCTTCTTTGTAATTTTCCACTGGCCGAGCGGGAGGGAAGCCAAGGCCCAACTTTCCCCTGCAGTCTGCAGAGCGATGCTCCCCCAGAATGCTCCTGTGAGATGGAGAAGGGCGCTTCTCCATCCGTTAATCGGATAAAAGTCAATCTCCATTTGATAAGTGACCCAGCCTGGAATGTTCCGAAGGCCAGATCTTTAAAGGGGTCAGCTGCTGGGTATGATCTTAAATACCCCAGCCATACAGTTTTAATTTTCAAATCTGATGCCTGTTTAAGGAGGCAGCTAGGCTAGCACCAAAGACAAAGACCTGGGAGCCTCTTGGGCTGGCCTCCTCCCTGGGTGACTGCATCTCTGAACAATTCAACTGCTGGGTCATGCAAACAAAGGAACACTTCTTCAGCCAGAAATGGCCTCAGCCCCGACTTCGGCACAGTTAAGTTTCCTGCTTCAAGTGGTGGTTCCTGAGATCTCTAGAGAAGATTCTGAGCTGTAGATGGGTCCCTCCAGGCTTGCCCTGTAGCGTGTCTATGCTCATTTTGTGTCTCCACTGAATTAGCTTTGGGTGTATTTTAAATAACCCCGATGAGGTTTCATCCCTGCCAGGCTGCATGTCCAGCCTCTTGGTATCCAGTTGGCAATACAGTGTTCAGGGCCATCTTTGCAGTTTGTATGTATGTATAGATTCCTTCCTTTTTATGGGTACCCTGTGACCTCGTGCTTCTAGGAGTGTAACCCCAAATAACATATTTACAGCCTCTCTAGCTTACTTTACATCTATGAGTCAGAGCTTTTGGGGTGGGGCTTAGCATGATCTGAAGTCACTCAGCTGCAGGTTTGAGTGAGAACCGAATCCCATCAGGTCCTCTGCTCAGTTCTCTTTCTATCCCCGGATGCTCTCTGACTTGACAATCCTGAGAGACCCCGTCTGCTTGTGCCCAGGGCTGGCCTTCGATACTTGTCCCTGGAGATGTCACCTTCCTTTCCAGAGACATCCTCTCCACCCAGTCTCTGGTCCCCAGGCCTGAGGGGATCTAATAGCTTCACACATTCAGCCAGGGTCCCTTCAACTCCTTGTGTTGCCACCTGCAATGGACACAGGGGAGGCTTGTCTTGTCTTTTTGTGATCACCCAGCTCTACAGAGGGCATCACATCAGCAACCCACAGGATGGCCTATGAAAATATGGAAATGGTTCTCCAGGGACACTGGAAATTCCCAAGCAGGATTCTACCCCTAAAATTCAAATTAGCCTTCCTACTGTCTTCAATCTGGGATGGGGGCTGTGCTTTTTGTAAGTAGTGGCTGGAGAAGTGGATAAATTATTCCCACATGGTCCACATTCATGCAGGACCTGGTCTTTGTAAGATAAGTGGAACTGTCCTGGGTTGATGGGGGTTGTGTGGAGAAGACATCCAACCAGACGACAGCATGGACAAAGGCTGGGCAAAGTCTTGGAGACAGGACTGTGCGAGACCCATCTTCCTTCAGTGTAAGCATCTTCATCCATTTTCCATTACTATAAGACCGTACCTGAGGCCTGGTGGTTTACACAGGAAAAGCTTTATGTTGGCTGGAAGCAGTGTCTGGTAAGGAAGAGCCGCCTGCTGTTTCATGCCATGGTGGACCAAAGGGCAGACAGACGTGTGCAAATGTGAGCAGAACAAAGTCAGAACTAGCTGCTTTTGGGGCTTATCCATTCCAGAGAGAATCCATCTAGTGTCTCAATCCATCATTAGTCCCTCTTTAAGGCACCACCTTCACGTGTCACTGTGTTGACAGCCAACCAAGTCTTAACACAAGTTTTGCTGGGGCAAATGACCCCAAATCACAGCAGGGGTGGCCGAGGGACAGATCTTCTGTGTCTGTGGGCCTCCAAGGCTTGGGTGAGCAAGTCACATCCCATCCTGTGAATCATGGCTCACCAGTTTCCCTACATCCAAGCATCACCTCTCATCTGCCTGCGTTTTCCTGGGAACATTCACCCCTGCTTCCATAGACGGGCTTTGTAAAGGTCATAAAGGAGAAACCAGGACCACTTGCTTAGACAGAAGGCGCCCATAGAAACAAGTCCAGGGGAAACAAAGCGGTGCTTTGTGCTGTTAATCAGAGGGCTTGTAAGAGAATCAGAAAGCGCATGTTATGTTGGCAGTGGTCCGGCCATTACAGATTGTGTGTTAGCCCCTGTCACGGTAACAAAACACCTGAGATAATCACCTTACTAACCAGACTCGGTGTCAGAGGGTTCAGGGTATGGTTGCTTGACCCTGGGCGTCAGCACACAGTCTATTATGGTAGGAGTGAACAGTGGAGGAGACCTGTTCATATTCTGACTACCAACGGGGTAAGCAAGGAAAGGCCTGGGACTATAGAATCCCCTTAAAGGTCACAGCTCTAATGACTTAACTTCTTCCTACAAGGCCCCACCTCCTAAATGTCCCTCTCTTCCCAGCTGTGCCACAGACTGGGCACCCAGCCTTCAACATGTGGCCCTTGGAGGGCATTCAGGATCCAAACTGTAAGACCTTCAGTGTGTTGGAGCCTGCATGCTTTCTAAAGCCTACAGTACTGCAGGGACAGGGACCCATCTTTTGGGACACTGCCTGGACAGCAGTGAGCCAACAGAGATGTTAGGTAGGCGAATGGCGGGCCACCGCACCCTCTGCTCAGAGACATCAACAACCCAGAGTATGTGTTAGCATTTATCTGTCAGACAAGAGTGTGGGGTGTCTTGAGATTATTTGATGCTCGACGCATTAAAGCAGGCTGGGTGCTGCAGAAAAGGGAGTTGAGGGCAGCGAGGGAGCTGAGCTGTGGGAGGGAAGAGGCTTCTGGATGAGAAGATAGTCGTGTGGTTGTAACAACAGCAGGGTGCTTAGCAGCAGCAGGAATGACTCTTGTCTGTAATGGATTTTGATTGTAATTGCCCTCCTTCACCCTCTCATGTTCTATCCAGTTCTCGCTGGGTTCCACGACCAGCTGGTCACTTTCTGCCTTTCACACCTTTGGTCGGTATTTGTTGGTGTCCCAGTGAGTTTCGTGATGGTCACTTGCAGAAGCATGGGTGAGAGGTTATTCCCAGGAGCATAGGCAACTTGTCAGGGACTACATCACTTTCTCCCTCAACAAATATTAACTGCCGATAGATCCTTGGGGAAAGAGTGGGACTGCGTAAGCCCTTTCCTCCTCTTTGACAGAATATTGAAAAGCCCAGTCTTGTGCAGACAATCATAGGTGCTGGGAGCTCAAGAATGCCACAGCCACGTCGTGCCCAGAAGATAGCATTCCACAGCACTCCACTCCTCCGTTGGCACTTACGTTATTTCTACCCCACATGAACCTTAGAGGAAGCCATAAAAATGGTTCACCCAGGGCCAAACACTCAATGCTTATTCTCATTGCAATAATTGCTACTGATAGCAACAAAAAAGCTTCTCCCATTGTCATTTACATAAATATTTAGAAGGCACTTGTGCTGATACATAGTATCTATTTAGCAAAAAAAACCCAAACAAACAAACAAACAAACAAACAAAAAACCAATAGCAGTAGCTTGTGGCTGCCTCATGATGGTCTAAGACATGGGCTTTTGACCTCGTTTACAGCACCAAACCCTGTTTCCTTCCAGTGGGCAGTCCTCAGTTCCAAGCAGAAAGTGGTGGTTACCCCTGTAACAGTCATGCCACTGTCACACTAGTAGGCACTTGTGGCATTTTCACACATATGTGTCATTGCACTTTGTCCTTATTGTCTCTATCCCCACGGCCATCTCTCTTCCTCTTCTTTCCAGAGACACTTCTGGGAGTGACCTCTGCAATACGAAAGTTAGAGAGAAAGGTGATAGAGCCTTTTAGCCCATGAATCAGAAAGTGGCAGCATTCGATCTGCTGTATCTGTGGATTCAAACAATGACAGTCTGGGATTCTCTTTATCTCTCTCCTGTCTTTCAGTCCTGGTCTCTCTCTATCCCTCTGTTGTCCCGATGGCTCTAAGCTCCAGGATCCCCTCCACACCTCAGGTTCTAGGCATCTGTGGCTGCAGCGCATCCCTGGGAAATCATTTTAGAAAGAAGAAGCTGGAGAGACCAGCTGGACTCAGAGGCTAACGGGATGCTACTGAGGAAAGACCGTCCAGTCCCCATAGGGGATTTAAGTCAAGAGAACTTTCCTCAGGCCTCAGCCCTGACCGGAAAGCTCCTGGCTTACGGCTGCTAGTTGACAGGATCTCTGAAGGAGACTCTGCCTTAGAGATGGGTTGGTCTAGTTTCACCCGTGAAATGTCTGTGATGGTGTCTCCATCTTCTACCACATGGGAGGGAGAGAGGACTTAAGAAGGAAGTGGGGAGGCTTGGGGCTGACAGGACAGGGAGCAGCTGTCTCAGAGGCACAAAGGCTGCCTAGAGTAGACAGCACAGGGAGAGAGACAAGCCTTGGTGCAGACCCAGTGGAAGTAATGATCAGAAGCCCTGGCGGGGATCCGTGGGTGGCCCTCATGTGACTGAGAAGACCTCCTTCACCATCCAAACATCGCTCAGCCACTACCTTGTTGCTCAGGGTGACACGTTCATCCCAGTTTACCCAAGACTCTCCTGGGCCCCAAAAGTCTCCTGCTGTGGAAACTCCTCAGTCATGGGTCCCTGGCAAAGGCAAGGTGAATTTAAAAACTGTCTTCTGTTATGTTCATTTGGGGGTACTTATTTCATATGGTCCTAAGAATGGGCTTGCCCTGTATTCTGCAGGGCCCAGCTCTGTGCCACTGTCAAAACACCCGTCACCCTTCTGCCACTAGGAAGGTGTCTAGACATAGTTCTTGTGATACAGAGGGTTGTGTGTGGGAGAGCGAGTGCGTGAGCAAGTGGATGAGTGAGGAGGGAGGGAGGGAGGGAGAGAGGGAGGGAGGGAGAG